AAAAATTAGCAACAGGTCTTGTGTTTGGAACCTACCATTTGTTTTGGAATCAAAATAGTTCAATTAAAAGCTTGACTCGACCAACTAGTCAGTTTCTATAAATCCACTAGGGTTAAATGGTTGTTGACTGGTTCGGGTAGGTTTTGATGGGTGTGCAAACCAATCTAATTCGCTTAATAGGTGATTTAGGAGGTACTAGTCTTGATTATCCATCTAGTCAACATTTAATAACTATGATTACCGTTTCGTTTCCTATACATTTTCTTTTGAAGCAAAAAACTAGAATAGTGTTTGCATAGATATTGACTTGCTTAATTTATTTCAGACTTTTATGCCAGTTGAAAACTAACGATTTATTTTGTGATTATTTCTTTAATAATATGCAGTTACAGTCCTAATTTCGTGCCTCTATTGGGCACGATAAAAACTTTCCATCGTAATTAGAGAATCTTAATTATGATTCTTTGAACGGTCATAAATTTAGAGAACCATAGATAATTTTCTCTTAGTACATCAGCGATGGAAAATTTTTATCCGCCACTGGAGGCAAGAGATTAATTCTAATGTTAGTTACTACTTTCTTCGATCATTACAAATTGACTTCTTTAATTTTGATGAAATGTATTAGTGTAGATTATTTAGTTGGTGTATGGTTTATTATGAGTGTAATTTGCTTGCGGAGAATGATTCAAATGAGCTTAAACTTTTATAAAAGATAGTTAATATTGTATTAGAGCAGGATCACGGTAAAAGTCTTGTCGCCAGTCATCCAACAATGGAGCACGTGCCACATTTACATCAGCTGAAAAAAGCCCTTTTCATTTTTGCAAACAATTAATAAGTTAAACTTCACATATCCAACCTAGAAAAGGGGCTTTGATGACCTTTGTACCGATTGGGATGCTAGATATGGGATCCTTGTAGTAGGCTGGACCAACAGAGAGGACAATCTTTAGAAACTATGTATCCCATGCAAGCTAAAAGGTTCAAACTAGGTGTATATCAGACAATGCTTTCTCTTGTCTTATCTTCTGCCTGCCCTTATAGTAGAAGTAGCTCAAATAGTAGGATTAGCATTATTCACCCAATAATAAACCACCAAGACCTTCCTTGTTTGGGTTCTCTA